TCTTTAAATTTTAGTAAATATGTAGAATAGTCTTTGATAAATATCAACACTCTTTTGTTTTCTTTAATTTTTTACTTATATTTTAAAATATTGTATACTTGTAAACTAAAATGTTATATTTAATTTAAATAAAAATATAATATTTTATTGATAAATGTACATTTTTGTTAAAAACGAATTATAATTTGAACGTCACACAAGTGAAGTATTGGAAGATTGAATAAGCAAAATAGAGTGCGGGAAAAAAATGCATTAGTCCCGCGGTCCCGCCCCAATTTTTCTTCTGAAAAAACAGAGGAAGAAAAAAAAAATATAAAAAAAAGAGACCTTTTTGTCGCAATCCGCGAACGGAGATGGAGACTGAAAAAATCGAACAGCTCGTGAACATGGGCTTCCCGGCCGACCTAGCCGCCGAATCCCTGGCCGCCGCCGCCGGCGACCTCATCAAGGCCACCGATTGGATCCTCAACCACGACGACGGTCGCCCTCCTCCCCCCGTAACGCCATCGAGCTCTAGCTCCCCGCCGGCCGTCCAACCCAAAATCAATCGATTCTTCAACCCCCACCCTAAAAAAGGCCAAAATCCTCCTCCAAAAACCCATCACGGCGCCGCCGCCGCAGACGAGGAAGACCGCCAGTCCCCTCCGCCGCCGCCCCACCCGAAGAAGCGCCCCAAACCCGCCGAAAACGGAGACGAAAAAATCGCCCAGAAACCCCCGCCACGCGCCGCGCACGCCCCGCTTTCCGAGCGGATGCGGCCGCGCGACCTCGACGAGGTCGTCGGCCAGGACCACCTCCTCTCCCCCGGCTCCCTCCTCCGGTCCGCGATCTCCGCCGGCCGCCTCCCTTCCATCGTCCTCTGGGGCCCCCCCGGCACCGGTAAAACCTCCATCGCCAGGGCCATCGCGGCCTCCTGCGGACCCTCCCTCCTCCACCGGTTCGTCTCCCTCTCCGCCGTCACCGCCGGCGTCAGGGACGTCCGCGACGCCGTCGACGACGCTCGAAAAGCCAAACAATCCGCCGGAAAAAGAACCGTCCTTTTCCTCGACGAGGTCCACCGATTCAACAAAGCCCAGCAAGACTCTTTCCTCCCCGTAATCGAAGACGGGTCCATCATCTTCATCGGCGCCACCACCGAAAACCCCTCCTTCCACCTCATCACCCCCCTCCTCTCCCGCTGCCGCGTCCTAACCCTAAACCCCCTAAAACCCCAACATCTCACAACCCTAATCAACCGGGCCATCCACGACCCAACCCGCGGCCTCCCCGCCAGCCTCAAAACCCCCGTCAAATTCGAAATCGACGCAGACTCATCCGAATTCCTCTCCTCGCAATCCGATGGCGATGCCCGCGTGGCGCTCAACGCCCTCGAGATCGCCGCCATATCAGCCTCCTCAAAACCCCACGAACCAAATCCCGACTCGCCAGCTGTCATCACCATAGACCACGTTAAAGAAGCCCTACAATGCAAGCACTTGAATTACTACAAAACAGGCGAAGAGCACTACAATCTCATAAGCGCGCTACACAAATCGATGAGGGGCAGTGATCCCGATGCCTCGATTTACTGGCTGACGAGGATGCTCGAAGGAGGCGAACAGCCGCTGTACATTGCCCGACGATTGGTTCGGTTCGCCAGCGAGGATGTCGGGCTGGCGGACCCGATGGCGCTGACTCAGGCAGTTTCTTGTTATCACGCGTGTCACTTTATCGGGATGCCCGAGTGTAATGTGGTGTTGGGTCAATGTGTGGCGTATTTGGCTCTGGCGCCTAAGTCCATCGCGGTTTATCGGGCCATGCAGTTAGCGGGCCGGGCCGTGAAGGAGTCGGTTGGGCAGAATGAGCCCGTGCCGTTGCATTTGAGGAATGCGCCGACTAAGTTGATGAAGGAGATTGGTTATGGGAAAGGTTACGTTTATCCTCCGGAGAATCCCGACTCTTCCGGTCAGGCGTATTTGCCGCCTTCGCTCGAGGGTTATAAGTTCCTCCATTGGCCTTAAAAGGGTGTAAAAATGGGTGTTTTGGCAAGAAAATTGTTGTGTTTTGTTTTCACTTTTCATCGTGATTTTCACTTGGAAGCACTTGAAAATTGAAAGTTTTTGGAGATGTGTTTTGCTTATCATAGTCCTTTTTGTCTCTTGCAACTTGGAACATTTTGGAGTGGTCATATGTAATTATATGTGACAATTTTTAAATTTTTATAAAGGGACCCATATTGTATATGTTAGATGCATTCAGTCTGAAAATTGGCAGATTAGAAAGTAGTGGAAAGATCAAATACACTGCTCTCTGGATTTTTTACCGTTTCGGATACAAAAATTTACTCAAGAGTGTACACTTAAAACTAGAAAATCAGGTAGCTTAAGAAAAGATCAGCACGAGAAATTCACCAACTTGAAATAAGATGGCATCTTCATTCAAGACAAGATATCGATAAATTTAATATGGTACACTCGGCCATTCGAACAACGGCAAGAGATTTACAAACTTACAAGAAACGAACACAACGAATAAACACTTATCTAGCAATATATAAACAGATTCTATCAGCTATGTTTTTCCAGCAGATGAAAGCTGTCTCTGACCTATAAACAAGCCTACCAATGCTTGTAAAAGCACAAAATGTGGCACGCGATGGGATGGGGAAAATATAACTCCTCAACTCATCGAAATTCCTCTTGCGGAGTTATAGCCCATCACAAATAAGTCGAACAAGACAAAACAAGAGAGAAAAGAAACTGATTTTAATCCTACCACTAGTGAGTTGGGAAAAAATGTAGTTTTTCTTTTAAAACACCACAAAATTTATCGGGACACCCCCAGGTAGAAATTCGTAAAAACTGGTATTACAGAGATATATACAACCGGTCATCACTATCAAGAATTGCTGGCAACCTCCGCAGCTCGTTGCCTCATCATTTCATTTACAGCAGCCCTTCTTCGTGAATCCGACTGCTGTTGTAGCCTTCTCATGTGATCCTTCAAGTCTCTGCATCAAAAAAT